GAGTAGATGAAATATGTAGCAGTAAATCTTCCTATAAGTATTTAGGTACTTACAATTTTTTTGCCCCCCCCTGAGCTACATTTCTGTGGGCGTCCCTGCTCAAGTCTATATCTATAATTACTAACATCTCCTATTACAAATGTCAAATATAAACATAATTCTTTTCATATAATTCATATAATAATATACTTTATTTTAGTATACTTACTTTTGCAAACAAAAACAATTTGTGGAATTTAGTATCACAATTTAATCTGATATTTTTTAATACATTTATAATATCTTCAGCAAGGCTTACTGCTTCTCTCAAATCAATTTGTTCTTTTTGTAGCAACTTACACAATGGTAAACCAAAAGAAAAAACCAACTGAAAAAATATTTTATTATAAAATAAAATAAATTATATTTATTAATTACTATTTACTTGTATAACTTGTAAGGATATAAGAAATTCTGAATCAATAGCTTTTAATAGTATATTAGCTTCCGTTGCTGTGGAATCATTCCAATTAGAAATATTTTCTAATGATTCAACTACAAATGTAAATAGTTCAATGAAATCTGTTACCGCATCATAACGCTGCACCCATCGTGTAGCACATAATCTTTTTAAAGTTTTAACCTTAGGATCCTCATTACTATTTTCAATGTTGGTTAAAAGAACATTTTGGCGTTTTGGTGTATTAAAGAAAACATAGTACTTTTTGATAATATCTAAGCAGTTTCTAATTGGTTGAATTCCACTTGCAGTTGATACTGCTAAGTTCAGAGAGTGTGCTGCACAGTGCACATATATAGCTTTAGGATATTTTTTTTTTATAATTGCCCGAACACCTTTATATTGGCCAGACATGTTGCTTGCACCATCATATCCTTGACCATATAAGTAATCTAAATTAATTTCACAACTATTCAAACGTATTTACTAAATATGAAAAAGTCTATGAATAGGTAGGTAGGGGGTGAACGGTACAAATCTCGGCGAGCATAAAATAAACTTCCGTTTTATTTTTTATTTTCTGGACAATAATCATTGCGAGTCTATGCACAGAAAATGAGAAGTTCCGTTAATCTTTATTTACTAACATTATTAACCTCTCAATATGACATTATTGACTACTCATAGTAATCACATGTTGGTATCGCATACAGTAACTTCATTCGACCTGGCGTTAAGTGTCCATAACACATCTCTGAGAAGTCAACAGGCACTTATTCGTAACTTCTCAACCGTCAGTGTGACAACTATGCGACTACTATGCTATAGGATTTTACACACCGGGTAATCACGTTTTAGAAGAAGCGCCGGCTCTTTAAGATAGAAAGTGCCCACGTAGTTCACCACTCCCAGATCGAGTCCCAGGAACCCGGAAAATTTAAACAAATTAAAATCATTGGTTTCGACTTGTTTCTTTTTGGATCGTTTGCGTTTCAGTTCGACTAAGATCGAATCTCGCGTAAATCTCTCCATAGACACGCAGCAGTAAGCTCCGTTCATGATAAATTACATCGCGAATTTCGTGCGATCCCGGTGTGCAGCGATAGCATTCGACAACGGGTCTAGTCGACCGTAACGCTGTTTCGACAAGTAGAAATAACGCCACCAGTACGTCGGGGTCGCGGCTCTGAAATCTTCGAATGTCGTTTTGAATTCTAAAGGTTTTGCTGCGCGCAACAGCTCGTACAACAGTGGCGGATATAGTATTTTATCATGGGGAGGATATAAAATATTTTCGTACATAATAAGTATAGGTATTATAAGCTTTATTCTACTAAATGCACAAAACAAAATTTGATTTTCTTAAATGCACAAAACAGAATTTAATTTTCTTAATGACTGTGCCATTACTCTATGACAGTGGTGGCCAAACTACGGCCCGCGGGCCAACTGCGGCCCGCCATCATTTAATATCTGGCCCGCGAAAGTCTTCTATATTACAGCACTTATTTGTATAACTGTAATATTTTGCATTTACGTAAAAAAAAATTTAGAATTCAATTGTTTTATGGCCCGCGATTAAAAAAAAGTTGTTTTTTATGGCCCGAGGAAAAAAAAGTTTGGCCACCACTGCTCTATGACTATATCCCGGGTCATGATATAAGTACGAGGTATACATCCGTAATCTAATATGAAGTTAGATACTAATGTAAACTAGTGTATCCTTCTTGGTTACAAAATAATAAAAAAGTAATTTTTATTTAAATTACACATGCAAAAATTGAATTGATTGCAAAAAAAAAATTTCTTAACTCTCGACCCACGAGGGGGGATCTATCCCCCATATCCATAACCGTAGATCCGCCACTGTCATACATGGTGTTGTACCGCAAGTGCTTGGGTCCCGGACGGAACACGGGAAACACGGAAAACGATCGCAATTCGTTTCACAGGAACCACGCTGCCAGTTTATGCGAAAACGGAACCAACGGCCACCAGTTTTTCTCCGGGTCCGCGAAACCCCGGTAATCCGGAAGCAGACCAAATATTTCGAGCAACTCCGTGATTTTTGAGCTGCGGGCGACTCGATGTTCTCGAGAAAACAGTTCTTCATAAACCCGACACTTCCAAACCCATTTGGACGTCCAGCCTTCGTATCGCAAGTACACGTAACGCACCACTCGACCGGACAGGTGCACGCAAACGCAATTCTTCATGGCCGTCTCGTGTTGCACGACAATGGATTGAATCAAGTACGACCCTAATTTTCCGTCGTACGTATTGTGCAATTCGTGCGCTTCGCGCAAAGCGAAATATTCGGCGTCCAGCGGCACACGTTCCATACGTTGACGTTTGCCCTGCAGGTGATGATAAAAATCGAACAAGTGGTTTTGCGTAAACGCCGAATTCTCGGTAAACGCGTTTCCGCAATCTTCATAGTGTAATAGTTTCATATAATGATAGTGTACGTATACCGAAGCTTCGACGACCAGAGCCGACACATCGAACACGTCCGCGGCTATGCGCTCGCGTAACGCCGAGTCCGGACAAAACTAGCGGAAACTCTCTTGAACGGTGTATGTCGATACGTTTTTATTTGTCGTAACCGAGGTAAACCTTCGCTTTTGCGACAATACGCGCTGCGGACATTTGGCCGACGACGTCCATACGTGATCGGTTTGACCGCAGCGTTTGCACGACGACGACATTATCGTGAACGCGCGTAAACTAAGAAAAACACGTACAACGAGAATAACCAAAAAATAAAAAATAACAGATAAACATCGTTTGTTGTATTTTATTTGTCGACATTCATCACTCAATGTGTTAATACCGCGAGTGCTGAAAACTTTGACTATATAATGTCGACATTCAGCACTCAACGTGTTAAACAATTGAACTTCAAGGTCATCCAACATCCACCCTTTCACCCGGTTTGGTACTTTGGAACTTACACTCCTTCCCAGATCTTGTAAGAGCTCTTAAAGGCACCAATTTCAAGTAGGACGAAGATGTCAAAGAAACAGTGAAGTATTAGATAAAATATAGACCTACTTCATATTTCAGTGACGGTAAGAAGAAACTTGTGGCTCATTGGGAGAAATTTATATTTTTAAATTTTTTTTTTTTTTAATTTCAATTATTTTCTCCATTTTCGAAAAATGTATGAATGTGCATTACTATACAAACATTTTTCGGGACACCGGGACATGAAGTCCAAAATCGGTGACAATCCCGGTTTTCCGGGACGTATGACAACCCTAGATGGAATCGAAATCAACAACATGGAAATGTTGCGTTTAACCCCTATCGAGCTGCATTCAGTTATAACGTGGAAATCGATTACAGTTCACAGCAAATCGTTGCTGTTGGAGCAATGAACGTTGTGCGTCAATATTATAAGGCATTTATGTTTAAAAATTAAGATCCTGGATTGTGTTGTGTGAGCGGTCATGTCAAATTTACGCCATTGGTACCGCCACCAGAGCCACTAGATTCATTGGTATCCGGAAATGGATCAACATTTTTTGACTCATATCCAGCAATACAATAATTGTTTTCAATTTACGTCATTAAGTGCAGCAAGTTATTCAAGAAAATCGTATGCCAACTTTCAAGATTCAGGATCAAATATAACAATCTTCATCAGGTTCCTTATTGCCAACGCCGAATAGTGACAATTGTTGAACATTTATTTTATGGGCGATTCAGCAAGACAAGTGTTCAGCGTTGTGCACACGACAACTCGGTGAAAATACCAGTTGTGGAACAACTCCAAATATTTTTTTCATAAACATAATCGTCTGATAATCACAAAATTGTTACCAAAGCTAATAAGAACGTCTGCAGGACAACACGCGAGACGTTTTAATGCGCCAACAATATTTGTTCTTCAATTATTGAAGAAATATTTTTTTTTTATTAATTATACCAATTCGAATTCAATATTTATAATTCAGACAGGACAACGTGTCGGGTCAGCTATTGGGCCTTGATTTGTTGAAAATAACTTACTTCAAATATAATAGAATATTTATTGGAATAATTAACTGAGATGTTCAGCTAAGGTTAGCACTTTACCAACATATATATATTTAGAAAGAGCTTACAAGGAACGTATAATAATCATAGTAACAATGAAATATGGGTATAGATATATATTTATCAATTTATCATACATTTTTATTTCTAGTAACAAAATAAAAAAAGTTGGGATTTTGACCTTTAAAAAATCAAACTCTCACTTAAATTATAAATTGTTATACATAACATTAATAATAATACATAAGTAGTTATTTAATTTTCACAATATAAATAGGAATATTTTTAATTTTAATCAATTTTAATTTTGAGATTGGTCTAGTTGAATATAAATTAATATTTATAATAATATTGTTAAAGTAATAAAAATGAAAAATAAAACAACATTATAATGAAATTAGAATATATCAATTTCAAAAAATTAAAATTAAAATGTTACAAACTACTAGTAATGAATTATTTTTACTAAGAAAAATAATTAAACAAAAAATAATTTTAATGATTGAAAAAACACGTAATAAACTAACATGTTAGATACCTAATGATTTTTTCATAAAATTGCACATAACTGCAAAAGTTCAAATGCAAAAAACAAATGCAGTAAGTAAAATGCAGAAACTACAGAAACAAACAGTCTTTGTCAAGCATTCATAGTTTTCGTATACTCCCAAGGTTGAAAAAGTTTGTATACTTCAAACCATCTATAGTACCCGGGCGCGAAATATTCATGATTGGCATACCATACTGGCTTCCATGACTATCTAATTGGGCAACTGGTACATAATTTGTGACACCCATTGATTGTAATTTAGCTACGGTGCTAGAATTTGTGATGTCTAAAATAGGAATCACAAATGGAATACTGGAGTTTGTTTCTTGTTTGTGATTCACTAGTTTATGCCGCCTTAACATTTCTGGATTGGGAAATGATGATTTACATAAATTACATCTGTAAAAAAAAAATAGAATATACATTAAAACAAAAGAGTAAAACAATTATCAAGTTTTCTAAGATATTTCCCAGATTAAGTACATACAATTCAATTGCAGAAAAAAAACAAATTTTTAATAGATGGAAAATAAAGACTTCTATGAAAAAATTATTGATTATGGATTCATTGAAACATTTTTTATAAAATATAATTTAATTAATATAAATCTAAGTCAAAGATTATAAATTTAATTTAAATTGATTTTCTTTTATGTAAAAATAAAATGTGATAATACAACAAACAATTCATTATTAACTTTAAAAATATTAAAACAAAAATATATTAACATACACAACACAAAAAAATAAACCAATATTTTAATTTTCCAATTTTATTGTTTAAGAGAATGTCACACTTGCATGTGTTCTCTGTCCGACATACGTACAATAGAGCAAATTTACGTTCAGTGATTCAAATATAGTAAAGTTAGCTTTAATATTAGAGTAAGCTGACCTATAATCAAACTTTAAGTAAAGAACATTATCTGTGTTTTGTTGGTTGGTTTTTTACAATATTTTAACTTTTAAGTGTGTCATGATGAGTATGTTAAATATACAATTAAAAAAAAAACATCATTACTCATTAAAAAAAATTAAAATATTGGAAAAAACCAACCAACTAAACACAGATAATAATATTCCCTTGAAGTTTGATTATAGGTCAGTTTACTCTAATATTAAAGCTAACTTCACTACATTTGAATTACTGAATGCAAATTTGCTATGTTGTATGTATGTTAGACGGAGACAACACATGCGGGTGTAACGTCATCTTAATGTACAAAAATAAATCTATGCCAATTAATTTTAAGATGTTGAAACATAATTGATATCTTAAAATACCATTAAAGATACATTTTTTACTTTGCTATCTCTTGCATACAATTCTATGGTTAATACAAATAATTCCATATTCTAATAATAATAAGTTTAATAGAAGTACTAAAGAGAGTGTGTGTAATAAAAAGAGTAGAAAATAATATTTTAGCTATTGAAAAATAAGAAAATGCACATGTTCGAAATTAAAATTTAAAAAAAAAAAAAATTAAAGCCAAAACATGTCATTAGTTTAATAATTAAACACTAATTTAATATATACATGGAATCTATATTGCTATTTAAAATAAAACTAGATATAAAAAAAAATTTCATAATTTTTTTTAATTCTTAATTATTTAATAGCCAAGGAAAAGCAAGGCAAATCAAACAACCAAATTTAAAGTTTTTAAATTATTTTATTTCATTATTATTGTTATATCTCATTAATTAAAACTATTATAACTCAATATAGTTAAAGTTCTGATAATATTTTTATATTTCCATAAAATGATATTCCATAGAAAAAAATATTGCTCAACTTAGTTATAGCTATTAAGATTAAAAATACATTTAAATTAATATATGCAGAAAAAAATATAACTACTTACTTGTATGAGAAGATATGTGATTTATGTAAAGTAGAAACATGTTCATACAGTAAATCTATAGTTGTATACGTTTTTGAACATACTTCACAAGGCCATAACTTAGGTTCTGGACCAGTTAAATCAACAGTATCAACACTCTACAATAAAATAAACTTTAGTCATTAAAACATAAAATAATCCAAATTAAATGTTCTATTTTTTTATGAACTACAGTAAAACTTCCGTTAACGGTCACCTCTATGTAACGGTCAATTTGTTTGGTCCCGTCGAGTGTTATAGAAAAAATACAGTAAAACTTCCATTTTAAAATTTGTGTGACCTCTATATAGCGGTCACCTGGAAGGTCTTGAACTTCTGTTAACGGCCACCTCTGTAGGACGGGTACCTCTAAATAGCGGTCATTATTTATAGTCCCTTCAGTGACCGCTATATGGAAGTTCTACTGTATATCCAAGATTAAAAAATTTTATTGTTTATATCAAAATAAAAATCAATTTTCATAATTAAATTTATAATTATAATTTCACAAATAACTCAAAACACATTCTTAGGTCAAGAACTTAATGGTTTAAATGTAACAACATTTTATTTTGGCAAAATATTATATAACTCTTAAAAAATACATTTTTCAAATAATAATCAATAAAAACTCAAAATAACATATAAATCCTAACATGAACTTACATATATATATATATATAATTTTTTTTTTAATTAATTAGTTAAACCACTAAATTGTACAAATATGTACATTATAACTATTGTATGTAAATTCAAGTTATAGGAATTATATTAGAATATATTTAAAATTTTAAAATATTCATCTAAAATATAATAAATATTATAGATCAACTTAATTATATTATAAAATTAAAAGCTCTGAAAATTACCTTGACTGATTGCAAACATTTGTTTCGATATGGCAATGAAAACGTATTTATTTATAATTTTTTAAATATTTTACAAACAGTCATAATACTACACTGAATAAGTTTACCTTTTTTTGAACAATAGATACTTTATAAGATGTCTGATTAGCTACTTTAGCGGGTACATTATTAGGTACCTTGAGAGGTGATGTTGGAATAATGGTAACAGCAGAGTTTAAGCTAACTCCTAGAGGAAGATTGACAGAATTTTTTCCACTAGTTTCCACCTAAAAAAAATGTATTGATTCAATTAATTAATGTTTTAAAATTTCAAAATACTTTTTACTAAATTGTACGCATAAACTTACCCAAATAAAGTTATAATATTTAAGAAAATGCAATAACTGGTCAATCATCAATTTACTTCACATAATTATTTAAAATATAATTTATAAATAATTATTTTAATTTATCATATAGGGTGAAGTAAACTATTTTTGTCATATTATTTGTTAAATGTATAATATAATTTTCAGGTCAAGCTTGTAATAGGGAATTGCATTACACATTCAACAAATAATATCACAAAATTGCCTATGGCACGAATATACCTTACTTCACCCTAATAACTAATTAACTAAATAAAAAAGTTACATGAATACATTTTAAAATAACTCAAATTATCATGATAAAACCTTCTTATTTAAAAATGTATGTTAAGTGGAATTGGAATTTAGTTAATATACACTCATAACTTAAAAGTGAATAATAAGTATAGAAGTTCAATTAAAATAAATCAAATTATATTTTAATATTTTAATAAAAATTAAGTTCTTATGCTTCAATATTAATTAATTACAAAAAAATATTATTTTTGAAATAAAACTAACCATTTATTTCCATAAGATGGAATTAATTAAAAAAATGTTACTAAAATGTACTAATACAACCATAAAAAAAAAAAAAACATATATTTAAATTTTAAACCACCGTTAAACATACATACTATAATTTAAGAGTCTAATAATATGTTTAAAATACTGCATATGTTAATAAAAGAAATAGTATTATAATGTATTCAATTAAATAATTTGTGAAGTACATTTTTCACTGTCAAATTTTAACAGTGAAATATATTATATGACCTCCCTCTAACTTGATTTAAAAATATATACTTATTTTAACTATTAATTTTGAGTATTCATATAATGCATTAACAGAACATTAATATAAACACATTTATGCTTTAAAAATGATGGCTTAAACTTTATCAAAGTAACACTGGGTATTTTAATTATTTAAAAATATATTTAACTTTGTTATTTTGTATTTTTTTTTTTTCCCGTTAATAAATAACAATTGTTTAATTCTACGCAACCTATGCAATATAAAACTAATATTATTTATAATACTGTATTACCGTGCTAATAGTAAGTCCTCGTTTAGAAAATAAATTGACTACATCTTGTTGTGAAGAGTTGGGGAGACTTTTGTGAGCAGATGATACTGGTTTAGTAAGAGATTGCGACAAACATTTAACAACCTGAGGAGACTGTTTCAAGTTATTCGAATAACTTCTAGGTAAAAAATAAATACACTATAATACTAATAATCATTTTTATCTAACCAATTATTTTACTCTAAAGATTTCTAACCTATCTGTTGGTGTTCGTTTAAGAGCTGGAGATCCTCTTAAAGGCATAGATGCTGGTCTTTTTATTGAACCACCTCGAGTCGTATTCATAGAAACTGGTCTTCCTCCTGCACAATATTAATTATGAAAAATGTATTACCTCACTAACATTGTTACTATGATAAATTCATACTTGTTCCTCTCAGTATATTACGACCCCTCGTAGATAAGTGTGATGTGTTTGGCCTGATAATTGGCCGGATAGAGCGTTGCATAGGAACAGGCTGAGATGGCATTCTCAATGATTGTGTATACAAATTTGGTATACCACGTGGTGGTAAATTGTCAGGTAGTGGTGGTACACCAGACTGTAATATTTGGTCAAAACCCATTGTAGGTAAACTTTGAACCTAGTTTCAACAGACAAAAATTTCTTAGTCATATTTTGTATAGTATAGAAGTGCATAATAGTTCAATTATATTAATATATAAAATTAAATTTTTCAATTAACTGTTATAATAATTATCTAAATAATTAAAAATTTACTTGATGTGCTAATTGTTGAACAGGTGATGGCATAATACTGTGAATCAAACGTTGGTGATCTAAAAATTCTTGTTGACTTGATAATACTAAATGCTCACATTCCTTGAAAGTACATTTGAAATGCTTCATTGCTACTTTATGTTCACCTAATAACTCCGCAGAATCAAATTGAATTCCACAGACATCACACGATACAAATTGTGGTAAAGGAAATGGTGCACCATTTTGAGATAAAAAATTTGGTTGCCCATCTAGTTGTACAGGAGGTATATTAATTAAGTTAGATTTATGAGGTGCATATAACTCATCTGAAGAACGAACATTAACTTTAAATTTAAGCTCTTTGACCGGTTCTTTTACTTCAGCTTCATTTTGAGATTTAGATGTTGTAACACCATCTTTAACATCATTTTTTGTAATTACTATTTCATCATTGTCTTCTTTTAGAAATTCCTCTTTTAATAATTTTACTTTTAATTTGCACTCTTCTTTTTTTTCCATTGAAGAATTTTGAAGAGTATTTTCAGTTTTTAAATTTTCTATTGAAACTACAGATATAGTTTTGTCATCTTTCTTTTCATCTTTCACCGGTACAACTGGACTAGATCTTCCAGAAAATGATTTCTCAGATTCATCAGATGATATTTCAATATTATAATTTACACATGTAGGATTTTCTTCTTTATTTTCATTTTTCACAGGTGTAATTGTGCTAGATCTTTCAAAAAATGACTTTTCAGAATCATCTGACGATATTATAATATTATCAATAATGTCATTAAAGAAGTTTTTATTACTAGAGGAATTATTAGTACTAATTTCACTATTATCTTCTGAATTGTTTTTATTTTCATCCTCTTCTTCCGGTAGTACTTTATCATTTTCATTTTCATTATCTCCATCTTCACCAGAAACACTTTTGGATTCATTTAGAACATCACTTCTCACAACCTAGAATTAGTTTTTAAAACATAATACATAAATAAAGAATAAAAATATTAGAAGGATTATAACACTAATCTATGAACCCTTTAACCCGTCACCAACACACGCGTGGATTTATTCGTAAGAATCACGCGTATGGGGTATTTTTTGACCACAACATAATTGTTATGTGTTCTATAGGTATACTTAATAATCGAATAATAATTGTTTAAACAATATAAATATTTTATTTAATTAATTTTACTAATTTCTTGTGCATAAGAAAAAAATCGAATTTTTATGTAGGTGCATAGTTACTATTATATATATATACAGGGTGGAGCATAGAAAACGCATAGTTTTCATTATTGAATAACTGGGACATGGTTTGATAAAAATAAGTAACATAAGCGTTAAATTATAGATATTTTAATGCTGTTTTGGAATATACATGTTTTAATTAAGTTCGAAAAATAATGTCTTGGAGATGATGACCTTCTTGATTGATACAAAATTGGATCCTCTGCTAAAAGTTGCGCACGGCTGTCTCCAACATTTCATTCGGAACAGCTTCAATTTCCTGACAAATGGAATTTTTCAGATCATCGATTGTGTGATGCTTGTTTATGAAGAATTTTAACTTTAAATATCCCCACAAAAAGAAGTCGCATATCAATAAATCGGGTGAGTGAGGAAGCCAGTGAACATCACCCCATATCTTGAAATAACATGTCCAATACTTATTCAATGTTTTAAATTATCGAAAAAAAAATAGAACAGTTTTTAAAGTATCAACTTAATAAAAATTAAATACATAAAACCAATATTTTAGTTACAGTTTAATCAAGATAATTTAAATTAAAAGGAGTGTAAGGAATACTAGTTAATGAGATAAAAACTAAATATAAATTTATATTTAAAAGAATCTATAGACTAAATAATATCTGAATTATTAAGTTTAATTAGTAGCGAATTACTGACTTGATTTTTATTTGATAAATGTCTAAACTTACAATAAATAAGCACCAATGAAATGAAATTTATTAAATCCTAATAAATACAATTATTAAAAATAATAGTATATTCTACTTAAATTTAAGGACATTAATTAAAATTTGAACTAAAATAGATCATAGGTTTTCTTACTTTAAATGACTGTGTAGATTCTCTAGAAGAACTACTACTACATGACCTAGTCTTTTTTAAAGTCACTTTGATTGATTTCTCAGCTGCTTGTGGTTGTACTGTTACAGCGTCATTTCTACTTTGTTCATCATCTAAACATAAAAATTAAAAATAATATCAAATATTTTAAATAAAAGATAAGATAAAATGAATATAAAATTGAAAATTATTTTTAAGCTTCTAAATAAAAATTCTATACTAGTCTAATTTTAACAATAACTTTAGCAACAATTTAATCTAGTGTTGGTCATGCTTTTATAATTCAAAAACTTAAAATTTTCAAAATAAAGCTAATAACTCATTAGAATATGGCATAATTAATTTTACCAAAATATCTTAAATTTACAATAAGTTCAACAATATTACGAAACATTTAAACTTTGAATTATACTTGGGATGACTGATGCGGTTAAAAAATTGAATTAAAGATTATCAATATTCTAGGCATGCAATAGTTTAGTATGATAATCATCAGGGCTCATAACTTATAGCTCTAAAAAAAGTAGTAATAAACGCTATAATATGCTGTTAAAAATATTAATATAAGCGCTTAAACACGCACTAAAAATACAAAAATATACAAAAAAAATTTATCATGTAAAAAACACAATTTTCACTTATTTAAAAAAACATATTATGTAAAAAAATATTTAAACTCCTATTATTAAAATTCCGATCATGTTGCTATATGATTATAAATAAATATATAATTTAAACCAAAAAATGAAAAATTAGTTAATTAACATGAATTAATTACAAATATAAAAATTAATATTACTATGATTACTTTTTATCATCAAGAAAAATATTTTAAATGCTAAGCTGAAAGTATTAAAAAAGCAAAATAGCAAATAACAAATTTCTAAATATGCAAAAATAAGTCTGCAAAATAGAAAAAAAAGCAAAATAACAATTATACTTTGAAATATCCAAAAAAATGCAACATAAAATTTCGCATTTAGCTTCTTAATTATCTAAACAAATGTGTAGCTCACTTAGGTATATCTAGGACCTCTCAAAGAAAATATGTAAATACTATAAGTTATGAGCCCTGATAATCATTTTTAAACAAATTTGTAGTCCATAACATTGTACATACAAATAAATAAATTTTTATTCATTTTTAATTAAAAAATGTTCAAGTTTAGTTCAAATATAAAAGACATGAATAATAAATTAAGTTAGGTTTATTTAATGAAAGTAAACTGTATTTAATAATAAAAACCAGAATATAAACACTACTCAAGTTGTATATCTAATAATACAACAAATTTTTAAATAATCAAGGTAAAGAAATTAATGAAGATGCTTCTAAACTATTTGTATGTCAAACTTTATGTGAAAAATAAATATTGAACTATCAAGACCCAGGAAAAATTTAATATTTGTGGTCAAATAACATCGTTTGACTGCACTCATTCAAACGTTAAAATATTAATTTGAAAAATTATAAGCATCTATATTCATATTATTCTTAATTAATATTGAATAATTAAATAATTCAAATAGTTAGTGGTTTCTTTTAACTATATTATTAATCCTCACAATATAATTTTAATTTTATAAAAACCTGGGAAGCATCTATTCAATCTTACTTCAAGTTCAATATAAGTTTAGTTTAGTATCAAAATTAAAATTAAATACAATATAATCAAAAATTCAATTTGGCAAAAATTCAACTTGATAAAAATAATTAAAAATGTGATTTTATTTATAAATATTTAAATATTAAATTTTGGTTTAGTAACATTTATTTTAGCCAAATATTTTTAAAAAATAGTATAATACATACAAGTGATAGCAAAATACCCAAGTTTTTTTATTTTATAAAAATGTTTATACCACTAAAAGTGCTAAAAATAAATTTTCATACATAACAAAAAAAAAAATAAATAAATAATAATTTGTACAATTTTATTAAAGATCAGTTCATAATATTAAGTCATTATTGATTTTAATTGTTTAATATCATAACATATACATTCATGTATTTATTTATTTAATTTAAAGGATAATCAAAACAATATTAATTCTCAACATAACTTCATTAATGATTCTTAGTCAATACTCATAAACCTTACACTATAAGAGATACTTATATTAGCTTTATATACATATTAAAATAATTTAAACCAGGGACCAAGACCTTAAAGTTCGGATCTTTCAAATATTTTTTAAGGGGTTTAGGTTAAATTTCGGGATTTCATAAAGTTAAAAATTTAAGTTCCAGTTAGAACTGGTTTAAACCGCTAAGTAATATAGTAATTTTAACTAAATTTACTTAGTAGTTTAAATATTATCATATACAGACTTGGGTAGTAATACAATATTCAGAATACTTTTTAAATACTTTTTTTGAAAGTATTCATAAAGTGTTTTGAATACTTATAACGAGTATTCTGAATACTGTATTTTGAATACCGTTAAATCATCTCTTTTTTAAATGATTTTATTACTATTAACTATACCCTAACTTGTATAAGCTAATATTAGGTATTTATTATTGTTGTAAACCATTAACTATAACAGTTATGTAATATAAAAATACAATAAAATAACATATATTTAGCCTACAATTTCAAATATTTCTGTTGAGTGGACATCTATTATTTTTATAGTATGATAACTAAAAGTATTTTTAAAGTATTCGGAATACAATTTGTACAAAGTATTTGAATACATATTTGGAATACAATTTGTACAAAGTATTTGAATACATATTTTGAATACTATTTTTTGTAAATATTTGAGTATTTACTCTAAATACTTTTAAAAAGTATTTTACCCAAGTCTGATCATATTTATTTATAAATAGAAATTTTTTATATTATACAAAACCAAATCAATAATACGTGTAGTGTGTATTGTTTTGTGTATAATTTGTATATATCAAACATTTAAAAAACCCATTATCATTTTTGTTAAAGTAAAAATAACTTTTAAATTTATTTATAGAAATTATTTATACAGTTTTTACGTTCATGTAATTCATATTATTGTTGTTGATCATTGACCATTGTCATAGACTGTTAAGGTACCCAAAATACAGATGATGTGGCCGAAAATAATATTACATAGTTACTACATTATATTATATAAAATATAATTTTTGTTTCTAAACAATATATATTTAGTTTAAATGTTTAAAAGTTACTATTTAGTTTCTAATACAGTAATTTATTTCAACTTAACTATTTGAAAACAAAAAAAACTCTAAAAACCCAGTATTATTTAGTTTTTTTTTTTTATAGGAGTTTCGATTTTGGTTAAAAGATCTTTTAAAACTGTAAAATACAGATAAGAGTTATTTTCGGTTATTTTATTTACCCAAGATTATAGGTTCACTAACAGGTGCATTCGGTCCGGTCTCAGTCCCTGATTTAAACTGATATCATTAAATTTATTAAATCAAAATCTAATAATTATAATTAATGCAACTTTTTTTAAAATCTGTTTAAATAATCTGATAAAAAAAATAAATACTTGTATTTTTGATATTATATATTTTCTTATATATTTTATTGTTATTAGTACGTATATTAATATGGTAATAAAAACTATCTTTTGATAAAGAAGCTGATCTTCGCTCAATTTTTTTTAATTATTAACCTATATGAGTCATCCTTACCTTGTTCCTCACCCAAATTTTATATAATAATAAAATATCATAAAATTTCATAATAATAAAGTTACTATCTTTTACTCAACCAATTACAAAGTATTTATATAATTAACACAGGCAGGACAATACTATATGATACAACTTAGGAACAGCAAAACATGGCTGGGTCAGCTAAAATAATATATTAATAACAAAGTTAAATAGTAATTGTTAAATTTACTACTTCGATAAATTCTAACTTATTCATTAGAAATTATTCTTAATTCACATTTAAGAACTTCACAAGACATATATATTGTAGTCACATTTATTCATTTACTTTGCTTTTGTGTTCTACTAAACTCATATTACAAGTTTTTTTCGCAACAAATGACAAATTTCCTCTGAAATATGATGGCTTGAAATTCATAGTGCGAAGATACAGGGTTATTGATTAATTTTTATTTATTTCTTGAATTGTTTTTTTATTTTTTTTCATGATTATCTTAACCAAATAATGATAAGTGATTAGTCAGGTCTATACCTGGCAAAATATCAAAAGCAGCTTAGCAGTAACTTCTTCTCAATGATGTAAAAAATTAAGTCATATGATCACTTTTGTTAATAAAACTTGATTATGTTCAATAAAGATTTGATAATTTTCAATTATTGGTGTGGTAATATCAACATGATTTGTACATACAATTAAGAGATTTATTTTGTTTTTCTATTTGAGTATACTAAATCAGTGGTTTTCAACTTTTTTAACAATGCAGCACACTTCTTCTACAAAATGTTCACGGCACACCAATCCATATAATATTGGAAGCATGTTATATATATTTATAGGTACACTGTTTACAGTCTACTCTTATAAGAAGGATAATTATTATGAAATACATTAATACAATCAATCGAGACAGCTGCAACAGGCATACTTACAATAAATAATATTATATGCATCTAAGATTAATTTGATCAGTTTTGACCTAATATCAATAATAATAATGGTAAATACATATGTATTTATAAAACAATTTATAGCAGCACACTTTAAGGGCGCTCATGACAAACGAGTTGAAAACCACTGTACTAAATTGTTGTGCATAAATTTGACTTTATTTTTAGTTGCAACATATTTTGGATTGCTCTTTTTATTAGCACATCGAGTAAACAACAACATTTTTTTGTCTCTTATTTAAATTGTGAACTTAATTAAAACTTTTGTACCAATTTTCTATAAATAAAACTCACTCAAAATTTAAATAATATTTTATGAGTTAGATACGGTAGTTTCAGCAATGATTTCTTTACTAGCATACAATTTCTATTGACAAATATGTAATTTATCTAAACACAATTTAAATATCTTGATTCCATGTTTGTGTCTTTTTTTTTCAAATGCTAAAATTTAATTATCTGATTTAAATCTAAAATAAAATTATTTTATGAACCATTACTTTCATCATTGTTATCTTCCTTAGGTTCTACACAGTCTTCATCACTAATGCTGGAAATATTCCTATTTCGTACACCTGGTATTACATAATCTGGATCCTTGCAATCATCATCTCCTATCATATCATCATCTACAACAATATTCGTTCAACGAATATAATAAGCATAGCTTATCAATGTTTTCAAAGATGTAGAATCAAAAAAAATTAAGAACATTTAATTTTAACCAGTTTTTTATTTTAAATCTATACACCAAATAACTAATTATATTTTAATTAAAAACAATTATTCTTAATTATACACATTAATGTTAATAAATAAAAAAATGAATTAACTATTCTTTAATTTTTTTAAAAATAAAATTAATAAAATTAATTAATTAAATCAATTAAAAATATATTTTTTTTTACCTTCACTCTCTTCATTGGAATCCCAACTAATCTCTTCCATTTCTAGTTTTTTGATTTCTGTTAAATAAATAATAAAGGTAAATTAATATTTATTAATTAATATAATATTATGAAGTTAGATTAAGTTATTATTATTATAAGGTATTATAGGCAATAATAACATTGTTTTCAGGTACTTCCATAATATATCTACAACTACTCCAGAGCCTTGGTTGGGGGGGGGAGGGGAACAAATTATAATTTAACAAAATCTTATAACAAAAAGAAAACAACAATTTAGTCTGTACCAAAATGTGTGCTACGCAATTCATGTTTTGAACATTATAAAATAATAATATTATAGTATCATACCATATTATATTTTATATTAATATAGTTTATTTATAGCCTTATTGATTCTTCATAATATAGATAGCAGGTACATCGTATACACCTTCATACCTCTATGGCGGTAAACAATCACTTTGTACGGTCTATTGTTTAAAATGAGAAACGCGGACACTTTGTACAGCTGGATAAAAAATTACGTTTCAGAACGCAGACACTTTGTACTATTAAATACATATTATGTACATTTATATATATTATATACGTATAATATATATTATATATACAATGGTAGTGTGGACTACAGTATAGGTAAAATTTTGAAACTAGCATAATCCGTAAAATATACTACGATATGGTATTTGCGGTGTTAAGATTCAGACCTAGTCATAGTATACATTATATATATAATGCACAGTAAAATTTTATATTTCATTTTATAGTAGGTATGTTATGTATTATAATAAAAAATAAAATTGCAAAGATTTTTGTTATATAAATTAAAAATTAAAAATCTAAAAATAAAACTAAAAACAACATGTAAAATAAATATAATTTATTGAATTTGTTTTTGTTGATGCTGATTACATAAATCAAATAATTTACTATCTTTAGCCTTGGATATATGTTTCTTATTCAGTCTATTTCCACATTCATCCAACTGGATTGCCCGTAGAACTGTCCAAAAACTCGGATTAGTTGTTCCAACTAATTTATTGAATGAACTATTCCACCCTTCACTGAAATCCGTTCGTTTTTTTTATTTAATTTTGTGAGACCAAGTTGTTGAACTTGTCGCCATACAGACTGGCATAAATGAAAAAACAACCTTGAAATAGACTGCATTAAAAACTCGATTTATAATAATATAATATACGTAAAGTTTTACATGGTTTTACCTATACTGCAGTCTACATTACCAATGTATATATATATTATATGTATAAATGTACATAGTATGTATATAATAGTACAAAGCGTCCGCGTTTTGCATTTTTAGTGTTCGACCGTTCAAAGTGACCTAGAACCCTCTATAGCTCTATCTACATACTTGTGCGTGTCATATAATAGTCCATATTATAATAAGCATTTTTTGTTAACAATATAAATTTTTCTTATAAATATGGTACGAGCTGGAGGGGGCCCTAGGCCCCCTGTACTACTTCCATCAATGGATCAGCCCTCAACAATTTAACTGTATGAAATACACTAATGATATATAAATCTCCAACAAACCCAAATAGAATATAAGACAGTAATATACTAGCAAATAAAAGCTGAAGATCTTAATCAATCCCATTATAAGAAGATATGTTGTGTATTTATGTTTATTGACCAAAAAAAAATATTTTGAAATTTAAAATATTAATTACTAACCTGTTTTTATATTTTTTTTTTTACTAGTTTTCACCATTTTGGTTTTTTCCTCAAACAATCCTACAATAATAAAAATTACTATACATTAAAAATATAGCTAGCTACTTTATTATTTTTCACATAAATAAATATAATCCTACCAATACTAAACAAAATAGTAGTTGAAGATAATGATTTTTACCCAAAAAAAATGTTACTATTCAATTATTTAATTTATGATTTGTATAAATACTGATCTTATCTCTCAACTGACAAGATAATTTTAAATTTACTCTAGGCATTTGGAGTACACAAATGAATAGATGAAATTAATAGAAATTAATTAGAGTTGAATGAAATAAAACTAACCTGGTTTTTTATTTTTTTTTTTACTAGTTTTCACCATTTTTGTTTTTTCCTCAGACAATCCTACAATAATAAAAACAACTATACATTAAAAATATATCTAGCTACTTTATTATGTTTGACATAAATAAATTTAATTCTACCAATACTAAACAAAATAGTAGTAGGTTATAATTTTATACACAAAAAAATGTTACTATTCAATTATTTAATTTATGATTTATAGAAATACTGATCTTATCACTCAGCCGGCTAGATAATTTTAAATATACTATAGGCATTTGGAGTACATAAATGAATAGATGAAATTAATAGATTAACTATTTGAAATGGATGGACAATAGAAAATCATCAGGAAGGCAGATATAATAGAACAAAAGTTATTAGCTAAAATTACATTTCTGCGCTTGTCTTAAAATGAGATAAGGATGTGTGCGAGAGTAAAAAAAAAATCCATTAGAACCGAGTACACAGAATCAATACTAACAAGCAGGCGAACAGCAATAAGTGAAACCGTTTCAAAGTGAGAGTAATGATTTCTATCATATATTTATATATAATAAACGGGATAAACCCTTTTGAAAATACAGTAGAAGAGAATGACATAATATTTAGTAATTATCAGTAATAACTAGGGAACGGATTTATATGTAAATGCATATTTTTATTAAAACGAGATATTTAAGATTCGATAAAAAATGTTTATGATTTAAATCATTCCTATTAAAATTATGATACTTTTATTTTACATATTTTTACATATTTTGGTATAACTATATATATTTTTACATATTTCACTAATTTTTAAATATTTTTAAACATATTTTTATCATTTCATCATTCATACGTCTTCTTCGTACGAAAATACAAGAAATTATTTCAAAATTAGATCCAGAAACTTTTATCGCTATTGGAAAAGCTCAAAATATTATGCAAAATGAATCATTGAAAATAATTTAATTTTAATTAAAAATAATTTAACAAAATTATTAATAAAAAATATGTCCACAAATAATAGTATGCAAATTGTTGAATCAGCGATTAAAACTCGTAAGCGGACCAATAGATGTTGTAAAAAAGAAAATTCATGCTGTTACAGAAAAAAATTCCAGGCAATATTGATTTTAAAACAATCAATGACATAATGAATGGCAGAAAACCTTTTAAAAATTTGGAATTATCACCTTCTGATAGTATGCACTTGAAATATGCTTTTAATACATCAGTTGATGTGAAACGATAATTTAGCCGTTTTAAAAATATTTTGTTACCTAATAGGCGACATTTAACATTTGATAATTTATAAGATATGGTAATAATTCAATGCAACAAATCTTTTTGATAATTTAATAATAATAATCACTTTTTTTTTAAATTTTTTTCCCCCACATATTTGGATGTTTTTAGCACATATTTTGTAAATTATACTTACATATATATGTACATATTTCTGTATTTTTATTACATATAAATCCGTTCCCTAGTAATAACATATAAACTATTTTCATACAATTGAAAGATGAATATAAATAGAATCAATAATAATAAAATATAGATTTACAATAAAATATCATAATGACAAGAACATACGTTAGACGGACTGTAGATGATCGATAAGGACATAACATATTGGGACTACTTAAAACCTAATGAATAGACGGTAATCGAAGGGAAACCGCCTAACACAGCCAAGCATTTCTTAGTCATGAAGATCAGCCTCTTTCAACAGTCAACCACCCCCGTGTTGCAGTCTCGGAGACACATGCTACACGACACAGGTTGAAAAAGATCTCTTGCGATACCGATACGGTATACACTCAGTAATGTTCGCTTGAAAACATAAGAAAAAAAATAGAAAACTATAAGGAGCCTGGCCGAGAAAAGCGGGGGTATAGAGCGTTACTGACAAGATAACGATTTGCATGCCCTCTTGGAAAATAACTAAAAATGTTGCGCTCCCGCACTCACTGAATATTTCGAGCATCCAGCCGGCTCTTCGGCTCGGCCATAATGTTATACGTATAGGGGAAAAAATAATAACAATAACGGTCATCGAAGGGTTAATCGCGAAAAGCAGCGGTCCGAGCCGGCGCGTCGACGCACAGAAGCGATGTTGTTAATTATAATATAACATAACCTGTACACGACGGTGGCGCCCACTCGTCGAAAGCCTACAGAGAATAATAACTAGACATATTAATTATTAATAATTCTACTTATTACCGTTTCGTTCTTATATAACACGACGTTGATTGCCGGGTAAAACCTTAGTGCGGCGCTGGCGTTTCGCCGGTTTACCGGGAGGACGACGACCGCTGACCGTCGATATCGTCACAATGTTCGCGTGTTGGTGTCCGCCTCAAAGCATGACCGACGAAGACGCGAACATACCAACCCTTCTGCGTTTGCTATCACGGTGAAACGATCCCGTTCGGGTACGACGAACTGTATGCGCACCGCCGGGGTACTGCTGTTGCAGTTATAGTTGCGAACGGAACACAACAATAGCGGCGATCTCGAAAAACGCGATCCGAGTTACCGGGTGACGACTGGACGGACCGTGACACGTGCCGTAAGTGCGAGGCGCACAATAAATCAATATCGATTCGCAATTATCGGTACACGTTCGCGCGCGCCGAATAGTTAAAACCGCGAGTGCGCTGGGGCGGAGGGGCAGGGTAACTCGTGTACACGATGGGCGGGGAACGGGGACGACGAGAACGGACGGCAGTCGACGTCGGAGACGATCGAAGTACGCGCGAGGAATGGCGGAACAGTGCGAGCGGCCGCAGCGTGAATTCGGCGGCGAGGTACACTTGCACGAAGCGGTGTCGCAGAGTTGGCGGTCATGACCGATTCGACGGCGACGAGCGACGACGACGGCGACCGTTGCTCGTGGCCACCGCCTAGCGAAACTATTCCATCTCTTCCCCTCCCTTCATTCCCTTACAGCCATTAGGCGAATACTGACGGTACCGCCACGCCAACGAGTGCGTGTGCGCCGTGCTCTAGTCCGAGCGGCCATCACCACCGGTACAAGCGAGAAAATAGCGATAGCTCCGATTGCCTCCGCCTTTCCCGACACACTCACTCGCTCAACCTCATTCACTCACTCCTCTCTCTTTCTCTCTCTCTTTCGGTCTTTCTGGCGACCGTCACGGCCGCCAACCGATATGATATTTTATTATTAGTAATTTTTTTTTTTTCCCATTCCCGCAGGTCGATGCGACCGTCGACGCGCGTTCGTTTTTCGTTGCCACTCCATCACCCTCCGACCGCTCACCGTGACACCTCAACTCCACACTCGCTCGTTCGCTCGCTTGCGACCTCTCCGCCGACGGCGGCCAGACCGTACTCCGCAAACGAGTTATCGATCCGAGCAACGGCACGAGTGCCCGCACCTATCGCCCCGCACGTATAAAGCGTCGCGCGTTTGTCCGCGTTCCGTGCGCCGTAGACCGGTTGTTGTCGTCACACGCAACGATTTATTTTTTTTTTTCGTCCGACGTTTATTCGCCTTCCCGCCCGCCTTCCCGCCCTCTCCGCCCTCTCCGCCGCCGACGGCCTATTTATTTTTTCTCCGTCCCTCCGTCGTCGTCTGTTTTCTTATTATGTATTAGTATTTTTTTTATTTCTACGTTTAGAAAACAGCAACGAAAAAGCTTGTAATAATAACGATTGTAGTGTGCTGATATATTTATATACAATCATATAAACAAATAAGCATATAAAATTATGTAAAAAATATTTTTTTTAATTATTCATTACGTTTAATTAAATAACTTCTATTGTCCACATAATCAATCTATTTTATCCGTAGTGCATCGATTATCACTCTATCCTTAAGACAGTGAATTCTTTGTTTCATCTTAATGTATTTATTGTAAATTCATTATATTTTTTTCCATGTTGGAGAAGTTTCATGTCATCCTCAAATTTGACGTATTCTTTTTGTAATAGGAATATAAATTCAAATATACTGGGATGATTTGGGAAGGCTGGGCAAGTTGATGATATTTTTAAACTTAATAATTAAATTAATTAAATTAAGTTAATGCACATGAGAATTACATCAATTAAGTTAAAAAATATCGTTAACTTAATTTAACTCCAATTAATAAGTTAAGATAATTAGAAAAAAAAATTTAAATTAAGCACTGATATAAGTGATATATATTAACAATTTACAACGGATCTTATTTAACATTAACGATAATGAGAATGCAGAAAAAATCTTATTAGACTCCAATTAGAGTAAAAAAATATGCATTTATTTATTGGGATTGTTTTTAAGCAATCAAATATCCAAATTTATGGTAATTTATGTATCGTCTGTTTTTATTCATTTTTTATACAAATCCCATGTGATCAATATAATAACCGAGATTCGGAACTTTAAGCATTTGCATATTTTTTCTAGAAAGTGCATATTGAAATTCTAATTCGATACAAATTCGATTCATAGTATGTATATTTCAGATATAAAAATTGTTGTTGCATAATTTTGCATATTTTGTTATTTTTTTGTACCAATTCGCATATTTTGGGTTTAAAAACATTTATATACATATTTCATTGATTTAACAACATTTATTAAAAAATGTGTTATTTAATAATAAAATATTAGATATATGACAACTAAAATTCTAAGTTTTATATCGTTTAACAAAATAAATTAATTCATTAATGACTATTATTTGTATTGGTCCGGCTCTCAATTCAATAATATTATAATCTTTATAGTACCGATAACTCGTAATAGTGACCACCGCCGGCCAGTATTTATTTCTATACAAATTTACCACTGTATTTTAATATTTTGTAACATGACATTTACAAATCGTATAACCATAAGTAATTCGTAAACAATTATGTTTAACCATTAGATTATCAGCTTATACACAATATTATTTCTGTTCGTTATAATACTACATACTGCATGCAAGCGACTTTATTGTACAGTGTACACTAGTCAGTAGTCAGTTTATCTTTTTTAAGCAATTATTTTCCAACTTTTTACTGCATATTATATCGCATATTTTAGTACTTTTTAGCGCATAAAGTTCCGAGCCTTGATAATAACAATAACAATTATTATTATAATAATAATTTAATAACAGTATGGAAACTAAAAATAATTACTGCAGCTGAAAGTGTAACAATAAAATTATACGAGCAATAAATGTATACAATTGACACAAAAAATTATTTTTTTTTTTTTTTTATAAAAAATTTACAATCTGTACTTAGGGAACAATAAGTAAATATGATACAAGAATAGATACTTACATAAAGTACTGAAACAAATAAATATTAAATAAACAGTTTACAATAAATTATACATAGAAGGAACATGTTGCGTTTGAGGAAAACAGCCACTCATTAGTGACACTATCATAAAACATGAAAATAAATATATAATATTATTTAATTTTATTAAAATTTAAAAAAATAAAACAATACAATGTACAGGTTAATCAAAATACCTATTGAATCTCAATAAAGGATCATCTCAAAATGTAGATCAGCTATTAAATTTCTTCTCTTATTCAATAATATTTAATAATATCATAGATTATGGAATAATTTTAATAATAATTGTATTCTATAATCAATAATAATATGTACTTATTTTTTTAATATAGATTTACGGTCACTTTTCATGAAAACGGTAAAGTAATTCATGGGTGGCATGGCAATTTTTACTCAATAGTCTTAAGTCGGTTGAGTACTTTTCCCAATACCGGCGGTTCCCCTATCTATTATTAATACTGTAATAAGTATTAAGCCACGTCCAAATCAAAAAACATTTGTCGCCGACTTTGTGTCCAAAATTTAAAAACAAGCGCGTCCACACCAAAGCAACATATTTCATAAACATTTTAATCTTGAACAAAATGTGGAACGAGAATGACGTGGCGATTGCCGCATGTGCTTGTGCAATTTTTAGTTTAGAAGCAAAAAATGCTTCCAAAAAGAGTTATTGGGTTCATTCTAGTTAGACATAGCAGAAATATAGTGGTAACGATTTAATGACTGATCTTAAACGTGATAACATTGGTCTATCAGGAGAACTTAATATAATATAATATATAAGAGTAAAAATAATAATAAAATAAAATAAAAATATGCACTACGTATAGGCGGACGAGGCAAAACTGAACGAAAACCAAATAAATAAATAAAATATGATACATTTACTAAATATTTATCGACAGAATTTGAGCGGTCTGAATGTATCAATTCATTGTCAGCGACCAGTGGCGTATTACGGGGGGGGGGTCCAGGGATACTGTACCCCCCCAGAACCCCCCCAAAAAATAAAAAATTAACAACAATTCTTACATATTTGCAGAATTGGCTATGTTAAACATTCACAGGGAAGTTGAAATTACTGTTGATGAAGTGATAGAGGAATTGGTCAAAAAATCGAGACAACTGGAATTTATTTTATAACAATACTTTATTATATATAATGCTAAATACAATATATAGGTACATATAATATTACATATAATATTACATAAGACTATACGATTATTAAATTATATAATTAGTACAATTTCCTCCAAAAACTGCATAAGGACGTAACTATTACAATATAATATATAGTTTATACTAATTATGTATAAACTATGGATCCCCCCCCCCAGAAAAAATTGAAAATACGCCACTGTCAGCGACAATGTTTATAAACTTTGGCGAATTTTTCCCACCTCGGATGCAAAACAAAAATTTGTCTATAACAATGTCGCTGACACAATTGTCGGTGACAAATTTTAGAAAGAGTTCTAATTTTTGTCGATAACACATGTTTTCGACAAATGTTTCTTAGTTTGGACGCGGCTTTATGGGGCATATGTAAATTCCGTCACAAGTATCTTTTTTAACTGTTAATTCCGCCCGAAAAAAAAATAACAGGTAAAATTTGTTTTATGTAAACTCCGTCAGTGAAGAAAATCAAATAGTAGTATAAAATGAATATGATATATTATTAAAAAAAATATATAATATAATATAATATCAAATCGTTCACATAAAATATTTAAGTCATAGAAAAAAAAATCATAATAAATAATCGTTACCTATACCTAATAATCCAAAAATAGATGGTTATTTCATGTCTGTAAAATAAAATTATGTGATTCAATTTTTAAATATTCCAAGTCTTGTATTACTCCATTAGTGTACCTATTTATAGCAACCTGTAACACTGTAATTTTTTTTTTATTTCAAATTTTTTAGCTTATTTACTTGAGATATGCCATTTAGTTTTATATAAGTATGGGTTTGAAATTCGGTAAGAACTTTACTAAAATATGAACATTCGGTTGACTTTTATAAAATTAATTTCTTAGATGATTATGAAAGGATTTACAAGCAAAACACAAAAAAACTGGCTGAGCTTACATTTACCCATTATAAGTAAGGAAAAAAACTGGCAGAGTTTACATTAGACTTTTTATTACCTTTTTATCTTAACTGATATTCTGGCGGAGCTTACAATCGCCCATATCATGATCTCATCTGAAAATTCTTCGAAATTTTTATTTTTATATTTTTCTAAATTTCATGAACTTGTTATCAAATGCGGTATTTTATAAAAATAATTTTCTGGTCTTGTAAATCATAATTAACTTAATTGGGATAAATGAAATATTACGTTAATTTCAAGTTAATTTGTAAGGAAATGAGTTAAGTTAATTTATCACTAATGAAATAAGTTAAATTAACTTAACTTTTAATTTATTAACTCGTTAATGCCCAGGCTTGAATTTTAGTTTTCTTTTAGCACATCCACTGAGAGTTGCCATTTTAAAATTAATTTAAATATTAAATATATAAAATAAAGTGTATAAATACAATAAATTTTATAAATATCAACGCAGATGACGTTAGTATACCATAAGTGCGGCGTGCGCGGAATGTGAGTGTG